GTCCCAGGACGCTTCCCTGTGGTACTCCTGCTTTAATTTCTTTCAAATCAGAGTATGCTTCATCTTGTTTTACTCTAAAGAATCTATCTGAAATGTATGAATCCAATAGCTCTGAGTATGGCTGTGGAAGTAGCACATTCAGTTTATGTTTTATACTTATAACTGACAAAGATAAGATAAATACATCTGCTCTAACAATACTCGATAAATTTAAAACTAATATTCTTTATTTAGAAGAAAATATTTAAAATTATTTTTTGTTCACTCATTTTTCACTCAACCCTCGTATGTGCCTCACGGTAAATCCCATTTTAAAAAACCCAACTGGATAAGACATGTAAGTACATAAAATTTAGTACAATAACGGAATAACTAATCCATTTATCATTTTAAAGATAAATCAAATTAACATAAGTAAATGAATGACTAGATAGCAGAGATGATAAGCATCTCATATGAGATGAAAACATTCTGTACATTTTGGAAAATCCAAGATACATTTCCAAATGTATCTGCACAAGCTGTACAGGGTTTGGATATAGTATGGAACCAAGAAAATATTAAAAAGAAAACGGTTATAGTGATGACTCATAATGGATATAATGCGACTTTTTGTTGTTACTGTACTTCCTAATTAACCGAAAGTACCCTCAATTTATTTTATTCCTGCAAACTTTAATAGACCTTGTTTTAGATAATTCAACCACCCATATTGTGTTTGTAAAAATTGCAAAAATAAAGTGCTTCACACGAGAGCTAAACTATTCCCGAAATGCTGGTAAGTTTTCACGCGAAATCACTACAAATGCTCTCGAAATCTCCAGAATCATCATGGAAACCCTGATCACCGAAATCACTTCAAAATCAATTTTTCGCGAGGAAATATAAACGCAGCAGGTAGTGGATTAAAAAAAAGCTAAGAGTAAAAAAGTCTTTTGAATATTTCTCAAGAATATTTATATTTTCTTCAGAGAAAACTTCGAGGTGGACATTTATCGGAAATTATATTTGATTTTTTGAGAAATTGTATAAAATTAATGGGGAGTTCCGCGGAAGCACCAAAATTATGATATAGGGTCACGGGTGATTTAGACGAATAGAACTTCAAATTTATAATAAATGGCCTTGTAGGCCTAAAGCTTAGTTGTACTACTTTATATCCTCCGATTTCCTTTTGCTAGTGTGTAACAAACATTTAGTCTTCCTCCTTTCCTTTGGTCTTTCGCTTTTCTTTTTTCCACCTATATCTTTGGTTAAAATCATTTTTGGTATTCTTTTATTTCCATCCTCCAGTTATGCCCTGGCCATCTGATTGAGCATTTGCTAGCGTCGTAATATTTGGTTCACTATATTTCAATGAGCGTTTTTTTCTCTCATCTTCCTTTCACTTATTTTCCTCCAAATATGTTCTCTCCCATATCTCTATCAATTTTGGCTGTGCCTTCCTTAGTATCTGTACTTTGCTTATTTCTGGTTTCCTTGTTAAGAGCTTGACCTAAATACATGAATCTTTCTACTAGATTTTATGATTGCTACATCATCAGTGAAAGCTAGACATTGGTTTTTTATAATATATTAGACTTCCCCTGTTTATTCCAGCTTGTCTTTTCGCTTTTTCCTGTTTTATCTTCAAATTTTCTTGATATCGTCCTTCCAGCGGTTCTTATTCTATTTTCTGTGCCATTTAGTCCCATTTTTACCAGCATTATTATTTTAGGGAATTACTCTTACCTCCTATTGCTATGTATAATAACTCTCTTATAATTGAATCATACTCTTCCTTGAAATCTATAAACTTTACAAATGTTGGGTTTTGGTGTTTATAACTTTCCGACTGGATTTCCCTTGGTGTAAAAATTTGATCAACTACAACGTCTTCCTTTCCTGAAACCACATTGGTATTATCCAACACTTCTGTCCATATGAGGTTGCTTTTTATATTTTAGGATTTGAGACTAAATAGAAATATTTATCATAAAAAATGGCTCTATTGCTTTTCAAAATATTTTCCATGCGTTTCTACCAATTTTCAAAGCACTTTTTGCACTTCGAGGTAGCTCTAAATCATGCATTTTGAACCCAACCACCGGTTCTTCAATTTATTTTTTACTTTCCTATCTGTATACAGATATAAGGAAAGTATAGGAATCATGATTTTTTTCGACCTCGAGTTTTCGACGGATTTTTACGTTTTGAGGTCCCCTGAATCCGTTTTGACTATTTTCGCGATGATGTCTGTGTGTGTGTGTGTGTGTGTGTGTGTGTGTGTGTGTGTGTGTGTGTGTGTGTGTGTGTGTGTGTGTGTGTGTGTGTGTGTGTGTGTGTGTGTGTGTGTGTGTGTGTGTGTGTGTGTGTGTGTGTCTGTGTGTGTGTGTCTGTATAACGCATAACTCATGAACCGATACACGGAAAAACACCAAATTTTAAACTTAAGCTTTATTCCAACGTCTAATGAGATGATTAGATTTTGGGCAGAGTCGGAACATCTGGGGGGGTACTTTATAGGTGGTCATTTTTATATTTTATGGAATATATCTGTTATTTACGTTTGGGGAAGAAAATTTTTTAAATAAAAGTTACTTCTTATTTTATTATCTATAATTTTTGTCATTTACAAAATTTTCCTAAAATGGTCCGTATTCGAGAAATTTGACAAAATGTAAAAAAATATTTTTTTTTATAAAAATTGTTCAAACAAAAGTTGTTTGTAATATAATTCTCTATAATTTTTGTCCCATAGATAATTTCTCTAAAATGGACCGTATTCGAGATATTTGAGAAAATGTGTAAATTTCGAAATTTGAAGAAAACTCAAAAACGGATAAAGAAAAAATCAATAAATTTTAAACTTAAGTTTTATTTCGGCCTGACGTGAAATGATTAGATTTTGGACAAAGTCGGAACATCTGGGGGGGTACTTTATGAGAGGCCGTTTATATATTTTATGGAATATATCTGTTATTTATGTTTGGAGAAGAAAATTGTTCAAATAAAAGTTACTTCTAATATTATTATCTATAATTTTTGCCTTATGTAAAAATTTCCTGAAATGGTCCGTATTCGAGAAATTTGACAAAATGTGCAAAATTCTGATTTTTATGAAAATTGTTGAAATAAAAGTTGTTTGCGATATCGATCTCTATAATATTTGTTCATACATGATTTTTTTTAAATGGACCGTAATGGAAAAATTGTAGGAAAAGTGCTAAATTTAAATTTTTCAGTATTTTCATTTTCAATGAATATCTATAGAAAAATGTTTCGCGGTAGATGTATGTGGACAATGTATATATATTTAGTTTATCCTCTAAACATTTATAGAGATTCTGCAATAGGTTGTACACAATAAACGGAAAAAGCCTGTAATAACTAGATAGGAAAGTCATGTGTTGGACACATCAGATTTTTATGCTCGGGAATAAAAATAAGTTATTGAGTGCCAAATTAGAACTATACGGCGAATTGAGGGCTAAAAATGCACTTGCTTGAGCTGATGTGTGAGAGCTCGCCTTGTCGCGGTGGAGAATAATCTGTCTTCAGCGGTTGGTTTTTCTTGTGTCTCTGAAGACTTCTGGCAAACAAATGGTTGTGTATCATTTATAATTGACCGTTCGTTCGACGTTTCACTAAGATACGGTTTGTAACATGTCCAGTTAAAAAAAACAGTGCTTCATGAGCGACCAACTTTTGTAGATTATGGCTCATTTTGAAAAAGTCACAGTGGACTGCTGTTTATTTTCGAGATCATACGCGTAGATCCACGATTCCTAACCTGTCACAATGTCCTAGACATGTTTTAATCTATGAGGTTGAATAATATGGAGATGACACGCCAAAAAAAGCGACACCCCTTCCCCTTCCATAGAAGCAATATAGTTGTCAAAGAGCTGTCAAAATTTTTTCAAAAGTTAAATATTTCAGCGTTAATTCTGTCTTTTTTATTTATTATTTTGCAAAAAAAATACTGAGCAAGTATACTAGACCTAATTATAAAAGATATAAAATGAAGTAAGTTTAAAGACTGTACTTAGTATTTTTTTATAATTCCTAATTTATTATCTTAAAATGTTATGTGAATTTGAAGGAAAATACCATTTGAGGCCTAGACAAAATATTATGTTGTGTTCAATTCATTTTTAAGACGAATTTTTAGATAAAAGTGAGTTTAGGATAAGATTAGAAGAATGCTGTTCAGACATTAAATTACTGTTTAGTTAGTAGCATAAAGTGTATTTACAATAAAATTTAAATACTTAACTATATAAAGAACTATAATAAAAATTTAAACAATTAAATTTAACTTTATAGTAAAACTTAAATTAAATTATTAATATAGGGGTCAAATTTCGTTTAGCCGAAATCAGTTACGTTAAAATTGTTGCTATGGCAACAGTTGCCATGGTAACCAGTAAACAAAAACCCAAATCTCGTGGTGAGGAAATGCATAGTTGTCAAGTTATAGATTATTTAATGTTCACTTTAGTTTAGACGAAATCAGTTATGGTAAAACTGTTGCCATGGGAACACTTGACCTAGTAACGACTAAACAAAAAACCAAATCCCATGGTGAGGAAATGCACTAATGCCCACATATGCCTCAATCTCACGATAAGTCACATGACGATCTTGAATTATCAGTTCACGCACACCATCAATATTTTTCGGAACAACCGATTTAGGACGACCCTGGCGAAATTTGTCGTTGAGCAAGCTACAGTCACAACTGAATTCGGTAAAACATCAATAAACACTTCATTATCAAAAGTCTAATTAAGTCAATCGATATACTATTGAATTAATCTACGTCGCAAGTTGTAAATTCCATTTTTCAAAAAGTTGCATTAGACGCAAAATTTCATCAATATTATAAGATATTTGCTTAGTTCCATACTTTATCCCAACCCAGTATAACAAAAATTAAGCCTTCCTAACCTGAAATGCTTCTTTTTTTATAAAACTATAGAATTATCATATTGATTCTGTACGAAACAAAAACTTACCTTCATTATTATGTTGGTCTATATTCATCCTCTGTTGAAGGGTATAATTTAAGAGTAACTTGAGTGGTTCAGATCTGCTCTGTTGTACTGCATAATGTAAGACTGTATTACCTTCTGAATCGCACACACCGATTTGGGCATCATTTTGTAACAAATGATGTATAATGTTTATCGAACTACTATTTAGGACTGCTAATTGAAGGGCAGTCTGCAAAAAAAAAAAAAAAAATACAGGGTGGCTAAACGAAATCGTACCAGAGCCATTATCAGGATATGCATTAGCATTTTAAACAAACGCTTGCACCCGTCCATTTTTGATTAAAGAGGGCCATGTGTCTATTATATTCTCAACTGTCATATGTCATTCCCTCCCCTCTGTCATTCTAATAATCAATTCAATAGTTTAAATAGGTACATAATTACATAATTAAAAAGGTAATTTTATGGAGAATTCACTAGTAAGACTTATTGGGTTGTTTTTGACTTTAGCGTCCTCTAGCGGAATAAAAATGTATTATAAAGTGTGATACTTCATTTGAAAGCTAATTTTATTAGTAATTTAATTCGTAGGATGATACATTTTGTATTTTGATTGATTGCTCTAATTAGAAAAGTAGAATTTTGGATATTGTTCAATTTTAATGGCGAAAATTTAAAAAACAATAGAGATTTGTAATTATTGCTTTCTTAAAAATATAAAAAAAATAAGTTATAGATACCGAAAAAAATAATTAAGTGATGACCTCACAAAATACTTAAATCAATGATAAGAAATGGGCATACACAAAATCTCGTAAAGGTCGCAGATATACCTGAATTATTTTAATCCCTTATGCGAAATCCCATACATCAAATTTTAATATCAGAAACAATTGTAAATAAATGATAAAATGATACTGCAGTTGATTTTTTTATTTCCGTACCTATTGGTGGTTTGAAATTTTTCATACAGGAGCAGACTTTCTAATCGGGTTTTGTCCATTTTTTAAATATTTAAATATAGATGGCAGTCGTTACTATATTTACATATTTTTGTATTTAAACATTCGCATACGACCTAAACCTATTTTACCATAAAATTTAACATAGAAAATATCATTGACAAACAAAACGTATTATGTCCACAGTATAGAGTCAAACGAACTGTGTTAGTGTGGACAAAATATGACCCACTTATCTTTTACGCAAAAAGGGATACAGCTGTCTTGAGAAAGATAAATCAGCCATCACATCATATGAACACATTCATATTCTAATATATTTTATCATTTTTCATACTATAAGTATTTAAAAACAATCAAAACATATTTTGTTCAGAGAAGACAAATAAAAAGTTGTTTGTCAACCAGTTAGTTTTTATATGTTTAAAATTTATGCATAACTCACTACCCTAAAACAATATATTTTCATACATTTTCTTATTTTGGTATCATACATACATAGTAAACTTGTGGCGGATTTCCGCGTTTCATGAAAATTGTGGAAAATGGAAAATGCGATTAAAAGTCTGCTCCTCGTATGAAAGGTAATAATTCTCAAGTCTTTTTAAAAATTTCGCTATAGATGTATTTTTCCTTGTAGAAAGTTTCTCTAATTTAGACTTTGTTGTTTTTACAGAGTATATCATAATAATTAAAAAACGCCTAGAATTAAAAACAAATATAGATAATTTTCTTCATCCATTAGAACTTTTGAATTTGATATCTATGTTAATTTTTAGAATGTACAAGAATATCATTGAATTATTTATCTGATTGATTTTCTTTTAAAAGGGAATTAAATATATCTGAACTTTTGTATGAGAAATATTAATATATTATGTTATAAGATTGACTTTACTTAATATTTAATACCACAAGACTACCATACCTATAAAGTAATATTTTTTTAATCTTTTTTTAATAATTTCAGATAAAATATCATACAGCACATCCTATACTTCTCCTAACTGAGATCTTAGATAATTTAGTTAAACCATCTGGTATCTAATATGGTTTTAAAGTAAATAATTCAAATAATAGTTTAAATGAACTTGTTTAAACTTGGAATATAATTAACATTTTTTAATTTATCAACTACCTAACCACAACTTCATGCCTTGGCGCCACTGTGCGAAGCACAATCTTGCCTATATGGACGTGTTCCTACAAGCAAGACAAATTACGAACTATAAAGAGACTCTTTTAGAATAACACCCGTACATTCGAAAAAAATTTATCACAATAACTATAAATATTTTTGAAAACAATGTTATTTAAATATTTGAATTTTATATGTAAATTTAATGCATTAGCATCAAATTATTGTGCAACAACTCTATAAACAATGATTTTATTTGTAAACAATAATACTTACCATATCGTCATCGTTAAGTATGTCGACATTTTGATTCAAAATTTTTAAAATAAAACAGCTGCGTTTCACTAATTTAAAATTGTCTGTCAAAACTCCAACGTGTATCGGCCTAAAATAAAAATGTACACTTTAATTTATCTTTACAACAAATTGGAAATTTTCCCAAAATTGAAATAATAGGTTCTTGCGTTCGTCCCATTGGTGTAGGAATGAACTACACCAACGGACACTGGGGTCTATTCTGTAACAATTCCTTTATATTTTAACGGCCGTTAAAATATTGGCGGCCTTTAAAAATATTTTAGTATTCACTAACTTACTTTTGTCATTATTTAAAGGGATTCCTTTAAAATAGTCCCCAAATAACAATCATTTTTAAAGGGATGTTAAAATTCGCCTTTAATTTTTAACGGTTTTGAATTGAAAATTGAGGATTTGTATGGTTATGTTTTCAAACTAGTTCAAATAAATTTTAAATGCGATGTTCTCAAGTGTTCTCCTGCCATTTTTAACCGGCCTTTAAAATTTGTGTATACAGAATACCATTTTTGGTTAAAAAAATTAACGGTCCGCTAAAAGTTTAATTTTTAAAGGCCTCTAAATTTTAACCAATGTGTTACAGAGTAGACCCCACTAAACCTTTCGTTTAGCCCGGTGTAAAATCCACTACACCTTCATGTCAGCGATATGGTGTCCACTGGTGGATATTTTCTCTATTTAGCAGGAGTGAATTACATTCGAGATGTGTATGAGGAATAGGGAGGAAGTAAATCAGGTAAATAAGGTGGTGTAGTTTACACTGGAAGACACTGCAGTAACAGCGAACGAAAGAACCTAATAGATTTTCGGCTCTGTCACGAAATAGCGCCGAACGTAATAACGCGTATCAAAATAGCGCATTTGTTTGAGCTAATAATCAAAATGGCGTGAATCGAAACAGCGCCTGAACGAAATAACATCCAACGAAATAGCGCCTACACATAATAGTTCATATCTAAACAATGCTTGTACGAATTAGCGTTTAATAAAATAGCGCTAACTAAAAAGCGCCAGAAAGAAACAGTGCCTGGAGCCATCGCGGGGTGTTTTTTACAGAAAATTATTTAAAAATACACACATAAATTACCTAAGCTGTGCGGCTTGGAGCTCGCGGGTTGCTTCGCAAAAAATTATACATTAAATGAGAAAATAAAAAAAACTTCAATAATATACCTAACCTGTCCATGAGCGATCGGTTGTTAAATTTAAATGGCTCCAGTCCGCACAAGTTAGGTACATTCGTTGTTTTTTTTTTTAATTGTTCTCATTTTATGTATATTTTTTTTGCCAAGCAACCCGCAATGGCTCCAGGCCGCACAGGTTAAGATTAGATCAGGCGCTGTTTCAGTCTGGCGCTATTTTGACGGACGCTATTTTAAAAAGCGCTGTTTCGTTCAAGCGATGTTTTAATCGGGCGCCGTTTTGAGTGACGCTATTTTAATGAGAGCTATTTCGTTCAGGCGCTCCTTTTATACACGCTATTTCGTTCTGACACTTTTTTGATACGCCCTATTTTGTCAGGCGCTCTTCTTATATGCGATATTTCGTGACAGGGTCGAAATTTTGTACTTCCAGTTATTAAATTTGAGAATAGCACATTTTTAATTTTTTATCACAAATTAATTCAAAAGGATTAAATAAACAAATGTATTTTTGCAACTTTTATTTTTTTTTTTGTCCTAAACAATGATGTCTTTTTTTATTAAGTGTCAAAAAATGATCTCATGGTTAATTTTAAAAATTGGTACGACACTCCCAATTCTTTTCTCACTGACATCATAGTTGTCGGTATGAGATATATCTTTCTGTTATATCCTATACATACAGTGTTGGCAAGATCAAACCTTCAGTCCTGCTTTGCTTGTATTGAAGTGAATAGTAAATGGTGCTTGCACATACAGAAACGCACATAAAGAAACGACACAGTATCAATGTTACAATTCACAGATGGAGTAGTGTCTCGGTAGCTTGTCGACAGTGGCTTCCGACCGGTAAATGGCAACGTCGATACCACATCCTTTTTTGCACATGTGAACGCCATTTTACTATTCATGCAAAGACTGAAGGTTTGATCTTGCCAGCACTGCATATATTGTGTATATTGATTAAATATGCCTTGATCGATCCCTACGGTGTATTCTTATTGTTGAAAATGTCATGTATTTAATTAAGATTCAAATGTGTCTGAATATTTATTTATCAGCAAATTTGTTATATTTATATAATTTTTTATTTTTATTTTTATCACCCAAAAGACAACAAATAGCAGCATCTAGGTAGTACAGGTGTCTGATTAAGGAGGGTTAGCATGTGTATCTCAGAATATTTTGAAGAAACTTTTCTGAAAAAAAATAAAAAGCGTCATAACAGGTCTGTTTTATTCTAAACGGGACATCTTTCTAACATATCTTTAACATTCATACGTCTTTCCCCTTCTCTCCATCACTCTAACCAATACAATTTAAATAAAGTACAAAGTATAATACATCAATAAAAGGGTAATTTCATGGGGATACGTGGATAAAAACTGTTGCGTATCGTAGTGTGACACTTAATTTGAAAGGAAATTTTAATAGAAATTTAATCCATAGCATAATTTTTTTTTTATGGACTGCAATTATAGTTTGTATTTCTTAACAATAGAACAATGTAGTTATGTATTAAATTACTAATAAAATTAGTTTTCAAACACAAACAGATTTGTGTATCCCGATAGAGGACGCAAAAATCAAAAGTAACGCAATGAACATTCATATTGGTGAATTCCACATAAAATTACCTTTTCGATGATATATCATGCTTGATACTTTCCCTATTTAAATTGTATTGGTTAATCGACCTGTTTGTTTTAGTACTTCAAGATATTCTGAAATACAGCCGCTAATAGCCTTGTAAACAGAATTTGATATTCTTCTAGATACAATGACATAAATAAAACGAAATTTTTAATTATTTTAAAAATGTAATGACATATATATTCTTACAAAGTGTTACCAAAGATTACCTACCAAATGAGACACTACATTCATGAAGTAAAAATAAAGCTTGGTATTTAAATTGACGTGTGTACGATGTTGCCAATGTGATTCTTACGTGATTTTCAACCCCTTAAAAATGTCAGATTAATTTGAAACTTTGCACACTTATCAAGGACCAATGACAATGCAATAATTTAAATAGTTTTTTCAAATCCGATACCGTATGTTATCCCTGTGGTAACTTTTTTTAGAAATATTATTAAACGATTCCGCCGATATCACAGAGGTTGTATACAATGGGGATATCGGCGAAATCGTCTAATATTAAGGTGCGTTTTGACCTTAGTGGTTTACGACTTGGTTTTCCATAAACAAACAATTTCAAAAAAGTTAAGCACGAATTTTTTCATTCATTTCAAACAAAACTGAATATATGGCTGAATATACGGACGGAGGTATATTTGTATAAATTAAATAAAAAAGTTTGTAGAATAATGTTACTACAAAATAACTAAAAAGTAGAAAATAACTAATAGTTTAAGAAAACAAAAAAACACGAGTTAATAGAAAAGCAAACTAAAATGTAGAAATAATTTTCAATAAATTTAAATTAAGAATAATGTGTTTAACAAAAAATTTCTTTTATTGTAACAAAACGTGAGACTCTTAGATCTAAAAGTCATGACTCTAATCACTGAGCCAACTCACCCCATGTTATATGTTAAGTTGAGAATGGGGTGTTAATACTCTGCGATCTAAAAGATCTATTGTGTCCCCTTTTGTCGCCAATGCACTAAAGAAATGTCTCAATGCCTATAACGACCCTTCCAATCAGATTTTCTCAAGGAAGTGTAGGATTTGAAGTGGCTTCAAGTTAGGTAAATCTCCCTCTTCTATTTGATATCCTCCTAGATATAGTGCCCTTGGATTCTGGAGTGCTACACATTCAGTTAGGATGTGAATGGAGGTTTCGTCATCCTCCTCACAGAATCTGCACTCACTATCCTCTACTACTCTCAGTTTACTTAGGTGTCCTTTTAGTCGGCAATGCCCGGTAAGGATCCCTGTTACAATACGTAGCCTATTCTTACTCAAGCAGATGCAAGCTTCCGATCTTTTCTGGTTATATTCGCCCAGAAGTATCTTGGCCTGTCTCAGCCCCAAGAGATTGTTCCAATTATCGGTTCTTCTACTACCCAATTCTTTTTTAATCTCTCCTAATATTATGTTACTGCTGAACCGCAGAACGGCTCAGGTCCTACAAAGGGTGTTTGAGTCCCTTTCCTTGCAAGACTATCTGCAATCTCGTTACCCTGTACCCCGTTATATCCCGGGACAAAAGTGAGAGTAACTCTATTTTTCTCGCCTAGCTCATTCAATTGTTCTAGGCATCTCCAGACCATTTTTGAGCTGATTACGTAAGAGCTCGGCGCTTTGATGGCTGCTTGACTATCGGACATGATGATAATCTCTTGTCTATGATAGTTTCTCTCGATGTTAATCTGGATACACTTCTCGATGGTATGAATTTCCGCCTGGAAGATGCTTGGGTATTTTCCCAAGCTTTCGGAGTGCTTGGTTCTCGGCCCATACACTCCTATTCCATAGTCAATATTAATTTTGTAAACAGTCAAATATTCTTTGACCAAATTGAATTTTTATTTTAGACAATTTAAAATATTAGTAAATTCAGTTAAATATTTATTTATGATTTATGCTACTATATAGTATTTCAAGTAATTTTATTTTGCAACACTTTAAAAAAAAGGTTAAAAAAAAAGTGCGATTTTGCATAATTATCCATTTTTCAAGCATCGATCATAAATTGTTTTTACATAAATACAGCGAATTCAAAATATTTATGACTGTTTTTTATATTTTAATCTTTTGTTTATAGAAAAACATAAATGCAGGTGACAAAAGTATAAGTGTAATTTGTTCTAAGTTTTCAAAAACAAATAATTTCTACAGGACATTAAAAGATAAAGGTCCATTTTAACATCAGTTTTATTTACCTCTACAAGGTCTACTACTAGTATTTCGAATTAAACCTATACCAATTTTTAGAAATTTTTCAATATAGCGCTTTAAC